CTTATTTGGGAAGTTTTTATTTTTTCTTTGATTTTGATGGATAGCTTTTCTGGAGATAACAATCTTGGTGAATAGTTATTTTCCTTCAGGAGTTGGAACATATCATTCCAAGTCCTCCTGCCTTACAGAGTTTGGTTGATTTGCCTTGAAATATGACCTGATTATTTTCTCTTGAGGCTTTTAAGATTCTATCCTTGTTGTATATGTTAGGCATTTTAATTATATCATGGAGAGGTTCTTTTTGATTTATCTATTTGGGGGCTCTGAATGCTTCCTGTATCTGTATGTTCATCTCATTCTGTACTGCCTTCCTTAATTCATTTAGTTGTTTTTCTGTGTGATTTTGGTCATTTTTAAAAACTATTCTTTTTGAACTATTTATTGGTATTTCATCTATTTAAATAATTTTAGCATTAGCTGCTGGTGAATTATGGACATTAGGAGGTGTTATGTTCCCTTGTTTTTTCATTTTTCTTATATTTCTGTGTTTCATTCATCTGTTGAGAGGGACTTTTCTTCCACTCTTACATGTGGGTCTTTTTAGACCCAACTTTTACTTGCCAAAATGTCCTATTGTGATCTAGATTGAGACCCCTGATAGGTTTGATATTCACAGCCTTTAGTTAATTCTCTGTTTTTTTCTATAGTAGCTGACGTCCATGAATGGACCTAAGAACTTACCCCTCTATGTTTCTGCTTAGGGCCTGGTAGTTAGTTTGGAATTTTGTCTTTTTATTCTTTGTATTAAAGTACAGTTGAAGATTGAGTGTTGTTAATTTATGTGTGGAGCAAGGTGCTCTGTCCTTTAAGTTTAGTTCAGCAGCAGAGTTTCTACCCTCTGAACTGGAAGTGTCCCAGTAAGTCCCAAAACTCACAGAATGGGGGAAATAAATAATAGCAACAACTGATGCAAACAATATATAGCATTAAAATAAATACCTGGTTTGTACTACGGAATCTACAATGTTAATTACCATATAAGACAGAAATTGCCAACAGCAAAAAACAATAACCATAAGCTAGATCTGGCATTAAAGCAAACAACAGGTGTCAACTATATTATCCACAGCAGTAGTAAATGCAACTGAATTAATGGTGGAAACAGGAATTAGATAAACCAATTAGTTCTGAAAGATGGTAAAAACACAGTTAATTAAGAGAAAAGAAAATATGATAGGATGGTAGAAGAGAGTTTACCATTTCAAAAAGTGAACAGAGAGAATGCAGAAGAGATGTAGCAGGTGAAGGTTGTATGAAAAAACAGGAAAAACTAGTAAAGGGAGAGAGAAGGAGAACAAGAGAATTTGGCTATTAGTGTGAGAAGAAAGAACAAAAAGAGAAATAAGAGAAACAAAGTAAAACAAAACAACAAAACTGAAATAAACCAAAATCCCAACCGTCAAAAGAAGAAGATGGAAAAAAAGCTACATTAAAAATCCTAAAATTGAGGAAAAAATATGCATATTTATATATGTTCATGCACCAATCACCACAGCAAGGAACAAGAAGAAGGAGGAGGAGGAGTGCTAGAGTAGAATCACCACCCAAGAGCATTGGATTTGTGGGTAGGATGTGGAAAGGACATTTCAACCAAACAGGAGGAGGAGAAAAGGAGGAAGAGATTCTTAGTGAAAAATGAAGAAATCATCTCCACTGAGGTGGTCAAAATAGTAAATGAGAATGGATTTTAATGCCTATGTCCAACCATCTTTTCCATTCTTTCTTGAGTCTTATAATTTGGATGTGAGGGGTCCTCCAAAAGCTCACGTGTGAGACAATGCAAGAAGGTTTGGAGGAGAAATGATCGCAGCACAGCCTTAACCTAATCAATGGATTAATTTCTGATGGGATTAACTGAGTGGTAACTAGAGGCAGATGGGAAGCTCTTGAGGAAGCAGTTCATTGGGGGCATGGCTATGGGGTATACATTTGTATCTGGCAAGTAGAGTCTCTCTCCCCCTCCCCTCCCCTCTCTTTCCCCTTCCCTCCCCTCTCCTCTCTCTCCCCCTCTCATCATCATCATGTGAGCTGCTTCCCTCTCGCCCACACTCATCCCCCATGATGTCCTGCCTCACCTGGAGCCCCATGGAATGAAGCCAACCTTCTAGGGACTAAGACCTCTGAAACTTTGAACCCTTAAATAAACTTTTCTTCCCCATACAATTGTGCTGGTTGGGTCCTTTAGTCACAGCAGCGAAACAGCTGACTAAACATGGGGCTGTGTACTGGGAGAGAGAGAGGGGGAGAGAGTGAACAAGGGCTGGGAGTTGTTAACCCCTTCCTCTGTTTGTGTGGCTCACTGAGCTGCCAGTCGGAATGACCTAAGACTGAACTGGTTGAAATAGCTTTCCTCTTCCCTTCTCACCAGTATCAGGTAGGATGGAATGGGAAGGACTGTCAGTTGGAGCTTGTCTGCGCACATCAGATCAATGCACTCCCAAGGGTGAGTCTGCTGCAGAATGCTGGTGGATGGGACTTGGATCTAATCAGGCCTCACGGGCTTTGTTGGGTGGGGTCTGCTCTGGAGAAATTACATCAGTGCACCTTAGGGCACCCCTTGGGCCTGGCAGTTGCCAATATCTGTCCGGAGAGCCTTCCAAGAATTCTACTCACAGGGGAGGGGGCAGGAGAGCCAATCTTCCATCTCACTGCCCGTGAGCATAGCCTTCCCAGGCTTAGCCCCTGACTGTATTCACAACTACCTCTTCAGATTCCTGACCCTCTTCAGCTGGTCATGTGAGATGTCATACTCAAAAGAAAAGCAACTTGGATTTCCCTTCCTTTTTTCTGTGTCACATTCTACAGGGCTGCGTGGTAGACAATTGCTGGGACTCTATGGTAGTGTTTTCTCTTCTCTTCTCTCTCCCACAGCTACAACTGCAGCGTGGTCTCCCCCAGACGGCCCACCTCAGTTCTTCACTGCCTGTTGAGAAATGCAGAGTGTTTTTAAACAACAATTCATAGGGCAACATCCGGATCAACTAAGTTCAGCCTTTTTTTTTTTTTTTTTCTGATTGCATGTTTTTCTGTACCAAATCTGCCCATAGTGCTTCTCGGTGTGTTATCTCCTCTCACTGTGGTGAACCAGGGCTGCTACTGCTATTGCTGCTACAACCAGCTTGGCTCCAATGTACTCTTTCTTCTTTGTTCAATGTACCCAAATTTCTGAGTCAGTAAGATACTCTGACTGTCCAGTAGTAATTTTAGTGAAATCCCTCTTTCACCCACCTCGCTAAGAAGCAATATTCCTGCTGCTTGGATCCCAAGCTATGGAGCAAGGAAGGATGCAGCCTTCCTCTCTTGTTTTGCTTTTCTTAAAAAATGTAACCATCCTGGTGGGTGAGGTGATATCACATTGTGATTTTCATTTGCATTTCAATGCAATTTACAATCTGCTTGAAATAACATTGTTCTAGAAAATTCTATTATCATTTTTGTGACTTTGGGTCTTAGCTGGATTTGTCAAAGAAAATCAGAGCTAGATAGAAGTTAAAGTTGTGAAGGCATATTTTATTTGAGACTATTGCCATAGGGAAAGAGAGACCTGAGGGTAGAAAAGGCTTCATTCCATATATACCAGGAGATTTGTAAGCCAAGGAGAAGAATATCAGTGGGTGGATAATTGCTGAGAGGAGACAGAATTTTGGGAGTATTTCTGTCTGTCTGAACCAACCAACCTAGTAAGATTCCTGCTGAAGGCAGGCCAGAGTGATCAGATGTCAGTCATGGGGCAGTGAAGAATTATGATCAAATACTGAGGTGGTCAGATGGTGAGGGTGGAAAATTCATGCTAAACTACCTTTGCAGAGTTAGGTTTTAAAAATGAATTCTATAAGGAAGTGTACACATTGGCATAGGAGAAGAAACTTGATTAAGTTTGGCAGAGCTAAGAATCTTTGATCTTTCATAGTATCAAATAATACCATGGGAAAAATTCTCCAGTTAGACATAAATCCACATTAGTCACTACTATTCTGATAAACTTCTTGGCATTCTAACTTCTGGGAAGAGACATCAGTTTGGAATTTCCAAAGCTTCACCAAACATTTTTTTTTTTTAAAGCACTCCACTCCCTTCATTTTCAGCCAGAATGGTAATTTCTATTGCATCTAAGTCAATCAGGACTACAGTGTGCTAGAGTAGAATCACCCACCCAAGAGCATTGGATTTGTGGGTAGGATGTGGAAAGGGCTTTTCAACCAAACAGCAGGCAAAGGCAGTACACAAAGGCACATTCTAAAAGCACTTGGAGGAAAGATTCAGAAATTCTGATTGCCTCAAACCCGGATGGGCACATGGTGTACAGATGACCCAGGATTTCATTTTGTGATAATCTCAAAGATCATAGAGATGAAATAACTTTGTAACCCTGTGGTTGAATCCAAACAACATAGAAAGTGCTCACATGTCACATACATGGCTTCCATCATATATTTGCCTAAGGTTAGTTCTACATCATATTTGTAAATCTGCGGTATGATTTCCTGTGGATTTTCAGTGCCTGTCACAGGAGGACCAAAATATATCTTATGGTTCTGTTAAGATTTTTTTTTATCCCATTAAGATGATTCATATGGTGATATTTGCCAGCTTTGCAAAAAAATATAACTCTCAAGTGAATATATTCAGTTTCACAGAGTCAATTTTTAAAATTGTTTATAGTCAAACTTTTTTCATAGAAAAGTTGCTACTCAGTAACATATGATCTCATTAGTCAGAATTTCTTCATGGTCACTTTACATTTCTTAATATTTTGGACCAAGGAGACCTTTGAGAATTCGATGAGAGCCTTGGCATTTTCTTACCAAATTAAGATATTTAAATGAAACCACAGTTTTCCATATTTTCTTTAGGGAATCAGTGAACACCCCCCCCACACACACACACACACATGCACGGTCCTTAGATCCAATGACTTTACTTTAAAACTGTTGATCCAACCCATATGATGTATACACAAATTTTTCAGTTTAAAGTGATTTTATATTTGTATTTTTCAGGTACCTGTACAAGAATGAAATTCATGAACTAGATAAGCAAACGTTTAAAGGACTCGTATCCTTGGAACAGCTGTAAGTAATAGAAATGTTCTAATCGAATCACTGGTGGTTATGGTTCAACTAGAAAACATTTTAAAATGCAATCGTGTGACAGTTGAACAATTATTTCAAGCTTTGTCATCAAGTTTGAATGCCTGAATATTCAGTCATCACTTGGATAAAAATCAGAACATATGATTGAGTTGTCCTGAAGGCAGGAAGATAGACAACTCAGTTAGGATCTCAACTTCTTTGTTTGTTGCAGGACTTTGGGAAAGTTACTTTCCCTAGGCCTCTGTTTCTAAATCTCTGAAATGCAGATATTTCTGCTGTGATTTGATTAAGCTTAGCATGCAAACAGACAAGTTTATGACTTGCCACAAAATAGTCATTTTGCAAAAGTTATAGTTGTCCTTTTACTTAATTTATGAAATAAGTCCCAAATTTTAGCTGATGTAGGAATGCCAAGAACATGAGATACAACTTCTCATTTTACAGATGATATAATCAAATCCAATGTTAATTAAACGACTTGCCCCAAATTAAAAGTCTGTGACATGATTACAACTCAGACTTGACTTCTACCTTAGGGCACTTTTCAGCATTTGATGCCTCATATAAACCTCAGATTCACCTGTCAGAATTTCAATGTGAAATATGAATTCATCAATATAAAAAAGTTATATTATCTACTCACAGTGCTATTGAACTGCAACTTGATGTTTTATTCAGAGATTTCTCTCAGTTGTACGTGTATGCAATACAGATTCTAATTAGACATTTGAAGAGATTCCCCCCCACTGATGACAAGTGGTGGATATTTTTTAAACTCAGGTAAGTAGAATGTGTCCTAGTTTTTAGTTGTTAGTGAATTCGTTTGTATCAGAAGTGTTTGACTCCCAATTTTGTTTTCATTTTCATTGTGGTTTCTTAATTTCAAAACCTTATTTGCAATCATTTCTCTAATAAACATGTTTAGTGACATTTGGATTTCTTTTTCTTTGAAAGCCAAAGTGTTAGACTGCAGTATTAAAATATGATCAACCATTGAAATATATATTTTTAAAAATTATCATTGCTTTTACTTTCTTTTATTAATTAATTTTATTTTACATGATTAGCAAGATATCCCCAAAATAAAGGGTATTTCTTCATCTTTTCCTTAAAAATTGTGTAATGTTTTAAGTAATTTTTTGCTGTGTTGCAGAATCCTCACACAAAGCAAATGTAAATTCGTTTTATAAAAAAAAATTATTTATTTGTTCTAATTTGTTATACATGATAGCAGAATATATTTCAATTCATAGTACACATATGGAGTACAATTTTTTATTTCTCTGGTTGTACACAAAGTAGAGTCACACTATTCCTGTCTTCACACATGTACCTAGGGTAATGATGATCACTTTATTCCACCCTATTTCCTACCCCCAATGGCCCTCCCTTTTACTTCTTCCCCTTTTCCCTATCCAAAGTTCCCCCATTCCTCCCATGTCCCCTCACCCATGCATATTATGGATCAGAATCCACTTATCAGAGAAAATATTTGACCTTTGGCTTTTTTTTTTGATTGGCTTACTTCACTTGGCATAATATTCTCCAACTCCATCCATTTAACTACAAATGCCAGAATTTTATTCTCTTTTAATGCTGAATAATATTCCATTGTGTGTGTGTGTGTGTGTGTGTGTTTATAATAGTTTCTTTATCCATTCATCTATTGAATGGCATCTAGGTCGGTTTCACAATTTAGTTATTGTGAATTGTGCTGTGATAAACATTGATTTGGCTATGTCTCTGTACTATGCTGTTGTTAAGTCCTTTGGGTATAAACCTAGGATTGGGATAGCTGGATCAAATGGTGGTTCTATTCCAAGTTTTCTGAGGAGCCTCCATACTGCTTTCCATATTGGTTGCACTAATTTGTTGTCCCACCAACAATGTATGAGTGTGCCTTTCTCCCCACATACTCGCCAACTCTCTTAATAACTACCATTCTGACTGGAGTGAGATGAAATTATAGGGTAGTTTTGACTTGCATTTCTCTAATTGCTAGAGATGCTCAACATTTTTGCATGTATTTGTTGATCAATTGTATATCATCTTCTGAGAGGGGTCTGCTCAGTTCCTAAGCCCATTTATTGATTGGGATATTTGTTTTCTTAGTGTTAAGCATTTTGAGTTCTTTATATATTCTAGAGATTAGTGCTCTATCTGATGTGTGAGTGGTAA